AGAAAAATTAAAGGTGATAGATCTCTGGCAATTACTGAATGGGAATAGGAAGCAATTTACATACTTCTTGACTATATATGGCACCTTTACAAAAACTTAATGTGTATTGCAACATAAAGACCTCACCAAAAAATGTAGAAAAATAGAAATACTAAACACATCATTTACCTATCATAATGCAATAAAAATTATATTTAATAAAAGTATCTTTAAAGGAATTAAAAAATAATTGTTAATAAATAACAATCTTAAATGACTAAAGGGTCAAATGAAAAATCATGGAAATAACAGAAAACTTCTGATTTAATTTTCATTAAAGAAAATGATAATATTGAAATAAGATACCAAACCTTACGCAATACAACTAACATCATCTTGAGGTGAAATTTTGTGTCTCTAAAGGATTTCACGGAAAGAGAAAGAAGAAATCAATAAAATGGGCATACAACTAAAAAAAGAACTAAGCAAGGTAGAAATTATGAAAATTGAAGAGATTAATAACATTGAGAGCATAAAAACCAATGAATAAATAAAAATAGGAGCTATTTTCTAAAAAGTAATAAAATAAACAGAGAATCTGATTTTAAAAGAAAAACCAAATTGCTCATATCAAAAATAAAAAATAACTCACAACTAAAGAGAAAATAAAGAAAATTATCAGAAACTATTTTAGCAATTATATGTTTGCATAACTAATAACTTAAAGAAAATGGATGAATACCTACAAAAATATAAAACATCCAGATTAACAAAAAAAGAAATAAACAATTTAAATAACCAAATATAAGAAAATTAAATTGAGTAAGCCATAAAGGAAATTTCAAAGAAAAAACCTACAAGATCAGGTGAATTCTATCAAATATCCAAAAAACAATTAATCCCAATACAGGACTACATAAACTGCTTGCAATGATATCAAAAAAAAGAAGAAGAAAAAAAGACAACTTTCCACTCTCTTCCTGTAATAGAAATATGATCTTGATAACTGACCCAGAAATATGAACCCTATAAGCTATCACTACCAATGTACACTGATGCAAAAATTTTAAATAAAAAAATTAGGAAATGAGCTGCAACAGCATTTTAGAAATATTACAGTTGGTTAATAAAAGTGCTTATAATGGTACTGTGATAAGTACAGAGGATAGAAAGAAAAGTAACTGGCTTTGCTCTCAAGGAGCTCATAATCTAATGGAGGAGATAACATGCAAAAAATTTACATACAAAGGAGCTAGAAACAAGTTCAACTGGAAATAATAAATACAAAGAAAACATTCAAATTAAGAGGGATCAAAAGAGATTTCCTGTGGGATTTTTGCTGGAACTTAAAGGAAGCCAGAGAAGCCAGGAGACAGAAATGAGTTCTTCAAGAATGGCAAGGACACCAGTGTCACTGGATCAGAGTACAAGAGGCTGAGAAGGGGAGGGAAAGTATAAGAAGGCTGCAAAGGAAGGAAAGTGGAGGCAGCTTACAGATGTTTTGAAAGTCACACAAAGAATTTCACATTTAATCCTAACGGTGATAAGGAAGCATCAGAGTTTATTAGATAGGAGGGTGACATGGTTAGAGAAACCCGCATTTTAGGAAGCTCTCTCTGACAGCCAAGTAGAGAATGAACTGGAATGTAAAAAGACTGACAGTGGGCAGACCAACCAGCAGACTACCATAACAGTCCAGGAATGTGGTCATGAGGGCCTGCAATAGGGTGGTGGCGATGTCTGAGGAAAGAAGGGAGCATCTGTGAGAGATGTTACAAAGGTAATTTTGAGAGCCCTTTGGTAATAGATTGGATATGGGGGTGAGAAATTCTGAGGAGTTGATGATGACATCTAGGCTTAAAGTTTGTGTAACTGGGAAGATGGTGGAGGCCATGATAGTAACAGAGAAGTCTGGAATGGAGAAAGTTTTGGAGGGAAAGATGAGCTCAGTTTAGACATACTGATTTTAAGATGTCTATGGAACACTGAGTTCAAAATATCCAACAGGCAGCTAGAAAATGAGAGACTAGAGATCAGAACTGGATGAGAAGTTGTGAGAATCTTCCGCAGAGAGATGATAACTAAATCCATGGAAACTGATGAGATCAAGTCAAATAGTATAAAGGGAGGAAAAAAGAGAGCCCAGGACAAGGTCCTGTGGAACATCCCATATGATTCGACTGGGTTTATATCAGGAATGCAAGGTTGGTTGTTTCAATATGCAGATTATGAAGTTAACTATGAAGTTAATAATACAGATAAAAACCATATGATTACAGAAACACATGTGGAAAAGGCTTTCGACAAAATCCAACACTCATTTCTATTAAAAATTCTAGAAATTACAGGAATAAAAGGACCTTTCCTTAAGAGAATAAACAATTGCTAACAAAATCCAGAATAAACATTATACATAACAGAAAAGAATTAGGGGTCTTTCCAATAAGATCAAAGCTGAAGCAAAGGTGCTCATCATCACCACTATTACTTAACATAACCCTAAAAATGTTAGCTCTTATAAAACTGTCTTATAGAATAAGATAAGGAAAAGAAGTTGAACAGGTATTGACAAAAATGAAATAAAATTCTCACTTTTTGCAGATATGATGATGTAGAGAAAGCTAGAATAAACTAGAAAAATCAACTGAAATAACAACTTCAGCAAAGTTGCAACATGTACAATAAATCCACACAATGGTCAGCATATAGCCAACAAAATCCAGCAAGAAGGGGCAGCTAGGTAGCACAGTGGAAAGAGCACCAGCCCTGGAGTCAGGAGGACCTGAGTTCAAATTCAGCCTCAGACACATAACACTAACTAGCTGTGGGACCCTGGGCAAGTCACTTAACCCCAACTGCCTCACCAAAAAAAAAAAAAAAATCCAGCAGGGAAAGCTAGGGAAAAAATCTATTCAAAATAACCTTAGAAGTTACAAAACATTTGGGAGTATATCACCCAAGACGCACTATACGAATCCAACTATAAAACACTCTTTGCAGAAAAAAAACAGACCTAAATAACTGAAGAAATATTAAATGCACATTGGTAGGTCAAGCCAATACAATAATAATAACACTACTTCTGAAATTAATTTACTATTAAATGCAGTACTAAACTAAGTATTTTTTAGAGCTAAAAAAAATAATGAAATTTATATGGAAGAACAAATAATCAGGAACCTTAAGAGTTATAACCAAAAAAAAAAAAAAATGGGAAGAGTGTTTATTAGTGCCAAATCTCAAACTGTAATACAAAACAATAATAATTAAAATAATTTGGTATTAGTTCAAAAATAGAGGGGTAAATCAGTGGAAGCAATTATGTATATAACATAAAAGAAAAACAGTAGTATAATGCTCAATAGGCCCAAAAACCCCAGTTACTGTGGGTAAATATACACTATTTACAAAAACTCTGGGAAAACTGCACATCTGTCTCACAGACATTAGTATTTTTAAAAGTTTTTGCACAAACAAATCTAATATAGCTAAAATTAGAAGAGAAGGGAAACAATTTTTAAAAAAATCCTTGCATCAAGCTTCTCTAATAAAGGAAGGGAGGGTGAGAGGAAGAAAAAAAAATGTGGAACTCAAAATTTATAAAAGTGAATGTTGAAAACTATCTTTACATATAATTGGAAAAAATAAAATACTATTAAGTGGGATTAAACCTACTTTAACATTTAAATTATTATTTTTGCCAGGACATTCACACTCTAATTCTCTCCCACTCCTCTGTTCCCCTCTTCCTCTTTATTGGCTTTTTTCTAGTACTCTTTGTGTCTACAAAATAAAATGAGCAACAAATATCAGTATCTTAAGGAAATTTTTTTAATTGCAATTTTAGAGAGTATTTAAATTCTATTCAAGGTTTAATTTTACATGAATAAGCAGTTTTGAAAGGAAGAAACCCAAGCTATCAATAAACAACTTGGCGGTGTCACCTCATACATATTATACTGGCAAAGATGACAAAAGAGGAAAATGAAAAACACAGGACAGACTGTGGAAAAACAAGTACATTAATGCACTGTTGGTAGATCTGTGAACTGACTCAGTCAATCTGAAAAGCAATTGAGAGCTATGCCAAAAAGTTAACAAACCATGCATACCCTCTTACCCAGCTACAGCACTACCAGGCCAATAACCCAAAGAGATCAAAGAAAGAGGAAAAGTATGTACAGTACATTAAAAAAAAAAACTTATAGCAGCTTTTCTCATGGTAGCCCCAAATTGGAAACTAAAGGGGTATATAAATAAAAATTATGGCATATGAATGAAATGGAATATCACTGTGCCATAAAAATGATAAAATGGACAGTTTCAGAGGAACCTGGGGAAACCACTATGAAATGACGGCAGAGTGAGGGAAACAGAATTATGAGAATAAAAGTACAAAATGACAACATTATAATGATTAAGCAACTTTGTAAGACTTTGGAAATCTACTCAATTGAATGCTAAACAAAAAGTCTGGAAAAATGAAGATGAAACACATCACTTACCTCTTGCCAGAGATGATGAGCTTGAAATGCATACATTTTCAGACATGGCCAATGTGGAAATTTGTTTTGCTTGGACTATTACTATTTATGATGAGGTCTTTATTTTGTTTTGTTTTGTTTTAATGCTGATCAAATTGGAAGGAAGGTGTAGTAGGAGGAAGAGGAAGTAGGAGGAAATGAATGTAAAAACAAATAATTTTTTAAAGTAAAATTCTTCCTATAACAGTACACCTTTGATTACATAGTCAAAGAAACAACTAGGAGAGATCGAATATAATTTAGGTAACTATCTTGAAACAGAAAAAAGATTGTGCTTCAATATCTATCAAAATTTTAAATGGCAAGGTAGTTCCTGTACCTCTTGACTATAAAGGCACTGATGAATTACTTCAAAGTATTTCTTCAAAAATCCCTCTCCTTAAATTTGAAGTGTTATATTTACACAGTACTAGGAAGTTCAAACATCTAATACAAATGACTTCATTAAGAACAATTAAACATTGTCAACATCATTACCTGTTTCTGAAACATACAGAACAGGATCCTGCCTTGGAATTTTCTGAGGTTTAGAAGACATCGGCAATTTCTCTGATCGGTTTTGAGTATTTTTTACCTGTATTGTCTCTTCTGGCTCTGAGTCTGCATTTGGGATAAAAGTACATTTATTAAATACACAGGGTTTTTTTCCATGTGTAATTATGTAAAACATATTTCCATAGCAGTCATTTTGTGGAAGAAAATTCAAACCAAAAAAAAAGAAAGAATAAAATTAAAAAATAGTACACTTCAGTCTGTAGTTAGACTCCATTAATTCTTTCTCTAGAGGAGAATAGCATTTTTCACCATAAGTCTTTTGGGATCATCTTGAATCACTGAATATATAAGTTTTTTTGTTTTGTTTTTTTTTTGGTTAGGCAATGGGGTTAAGTGACTTGCCCAGGGTCACACAGTAGGTAAGTGTTACGTGCCTGAGGCCACATTTGAACTCAGGTCCTCTTGACTCCAGGGCTGGTACTCTATCCACTGCGCCACTTAGCTGCCTTGAATATACAAGTTTTTTAATTAAGCATTTAGTGCACTAAAGGTTTTTTTTTTTTTTTAAAGTATTTTCTGTAATGGACATATTTGCTAGTCTTCAATAATCTCCAAATTCTGTTCCCTTTTTTCAATCCTTACTCTCTGATATTTCTATACCATCTGACACTACTGACTATGCCTTTTTTCTTGATATCATTCACTTCTATGTCTCTTGTAACACCTCAGTGTCATCTTTCTTCTTACTTCTCTGATCATCCAATTCTCCTTCCCCCCACCTTTCACCAGGGCTCTGTCCTCCATCTTCTTTTTGCTATATATAGTCTCTCCCTTGAGAATCTTATCACTGGCCACTACTTCAACTATCACCATTATTTGCATAGAGTGCTGAGCCTTAGGTAAGAAAAACCCAATTTTAAATTTGGCATCAATTAATTACTAGTTCAATGACCCTGAGTAAATCACAACCTCAATCTGCTTCAGTTTCTCCACCTGTAAAATGGGGATAATAATAGACCTACCTCTCAGGGTTGTTGTAAGGATCCAGTAAGATAGTATTTCTAAAGCACTTTGCAAATCTTAAAGCATCATAAAAATCCTAGCTACTATACGAATGATATAAAATCTTATTTTCATTCCCATCATTCAGATGAGAATTTCTAGTGCCTGAATAACTCAAACTGTATGCCTACTACAAACTCAAATTCAACTGTACCAAAAAAAAATTTATCATTCTCTCCTTCATGACTTCTCTACTTCAATTATTAACATAACTATTATCTCAGTCACCCATGCTAAATATTTTTAAAATCCAAAGATGCCCCTTCACCTCCTAATCAATGACCTTCCTATTTTACCTCATTAGTCTCTCACAAATCCATACCTCACTCTTACCACTGCATAGGTTTTATAGGATTTAAAAATGGAAGGGAACTTAAAAGTCAGCTAATCCAGCTCCTTAATTTTACAGATTAAAAAAAACTGATGCATGAGGCTAAATAGATAATAAGCAGCAGACATGAAATTAAAATTCAGCTAATCTGATTCAAAACCCAATCCTTTCCCTATTGTACCACAACTCTTTACCACTGCCACCATACTAGTTCAAGTCCTTATCCCCACAATTGTGAGTGTCTTCCCAGGTTGTTTAGATTAGAACCTTCTTCTTTCTCCTGTCATTGTCATTTGAGTTATGACATATCCTGTTATATATTCTTTTATAACCCACAGCACATACCAACGTTAGGCACACTGAAGTCACACAAATACTTAATTGTGTGAATGGTGCCTTTTGAAATGTCTATCAAAGTCCTAAAGATCCATAAAATCTTTAGGTCTCCCTTGAATTTTAACTACTCACACTAGATTGTTCATCACTTCCCCAAAGCAGGAAAAGGTAAAACTACCATCAATGAGCTCTACTATTATTTTATATTATAAAATATGTAAGCAAAAATCCAAGTTGTGTTGTTACCTTAAAAAAAAATTGTCTAATATAATGCCAATGATTTCCAATACCTCCATTACCAAACCATGACAAATTATTTTTGTTTCAAGATGAAGGATGCAACATCTTTCAAAGAAGCAAAAAAAAAAAAAAAAAAAAAGACTTTTATAGCTAAATTTATGGGACAAGGAATGCAAACTACTTCAAAAGTCTTGATTGTTCCTCAAAATAATTACCTGAATCATAGATAATTCTCTTTTTCTTGTTTGCATGTTTTCGTTTTACATCATCTTCTTTGGAAGAAGTTTTCACCTACAAGTGACATACAATTAACCAAGCTAGTAGCTATAAAAGGTTACATGGGAGATGAGAGAGAGCTAGAAAAGAGATAGACATATCACTATTTAATTTTATTTCAAACATTGCCAAATAGGAAACTTATAATAGTAGCAGTACAGACTAAGTCAAGGGCTTCTTTGAAATAAATAAAAAAGGGCAGAAGCATCAACTAAGGAAGCAAAAGTCCTCCAGTGGGCAATGCTTACTTGCATGACTAATTTATTGAGGATAAAATTGTCTATAACTTCTTTATAATATAACTCCTGGTTTTTCAAATTGCATTTAAATATTCAAAAAGATACCATTTTGATTAGATTTAGAAAAAGACAAAGAAAGCCAACAATCACTTTAATTCATAAATGTTAAAAAGTATACTATGTTACCTAACAACCTAAAAATAACACAATAGTCAGCTATATAGCAAGAAAAAGATAAAAATGGGACTTTTCTCTCCTCTCATCTTCTCTCTACTAGGTCGGAGAACACATACCTAAAATCAAAATACAGTAGTATGTTATGAATAGGGCCACTAGTCAGTCAATAAGCATTTATTAAGTACCAACTATACTTCTATATTTATTAAGCACTTTGGCTTAGACACTGTGTTAAGCACTGGGGATACAAAAAGAGGCAAAAGACAATTCCTGCTGTCAAGGAGCTCTTGATCTAATGGGGGGATAGGGGAGAAATAAGCAAACAAATACGTACAAACAAGCTATGTTCAGGATAAACAGAAAAAAAGGGAAGGCATTGGAATTAAGACTTGGGAAAAGCTTCTCATAGAAGAGGGAAGTTTACATGAGATGTGAAGGAAGCCAGGGGGCAAAAATAATAAGGCATTCCAGGCATGGGGTAATAACCAGAGAAAATGCCCAGAGATGATTCCAGCCAAGTTGACCAATACTCTTAACAGCTAAAAATGATACACTTAAGACATCATCAAGTCATAAACAAAAGCATACCAGCTATAAAGAATGAAAAATATAAAGAACAAAAAGAAATTTATGGAGACATACAAAATGATAGAGAATTTTTTTTTAAGTAGAAGTAATAGAATAAAAAACCTGATTTCAACAAGAAAAATAAATAGCAAAATTCATGGTAAATATGGACATCAATGCTATCTTGATTAAGTTCATGTACACAATAATTTATTTGTTGCAGAAACAATTATTTGCAATCATTTTTACTCAACTATTTTGAGGGTTTGAATTTTTTCAGTTTGGTTTTTATTTTGATAAATAGTTTTATCTGGGGAAAATTCTTTAATTTTTTGTGTGGAAAAAAAGCTCATGTTAATTCGGAATATGGTAGGCTGCTTAAATTAAAAGTATTAAAAAATAATCTGCCTTTTCTTGAACCTTAAGTAAATACTATAAATGGTCTAGGTGACACAGTGGATGTAGCACTGGGCCTATAGTCAGGAAGACCTGAGTCAAATCCATGGTCAAACAACTAGCTGTGTGATGCTGGGCAAGTCACGTAACTTGTTTGCCTCAGTTTTCCTCTTCTGTAAAATGGAGATAATAATAGCATCTCACAGGGTTGCTGTTGAGAATAAAATGAGATCACAATTGTAAAGTGCTTAATGCAGTGCCTGCCACATAATATTTAACAGTATATAAATGTTAGCTATAATTATTAGCTAATATTAGTATCAGATTCACAATCAAACTTAAGTTTAGCATCTGTCTTTATACAACAATTTAAAACATTATTTGGAAAACTGACCTTGATTTCCTTTGTTCCTTTTTTCGTTTTTGATGTTCCTTCAACAGTCTTTGTATTCTCATTCTTTTTTACTGTCTCATTAACAAGTTTCTTTCCACTTGGAACAACCCCAAAGAATTTCCGGATATCCTGAAATTTTAAAAAGACATTTTATGAAATAATTCTCTCAAACTTTAAGTATACAAAATGCTAATTTCAAAAACAACAACAACCACAAAAAAAAAAAAATATATATATACACACACACAAGTGGTGTTTACCCCATCAGCCTATTCTGTTGCTGCATTAACTACATAGGTTCTTTTTGTGACAAATGACCAATAAAAAAATCTAAGGCAAATGCCACTCCCAGAAGTTTAAATATATGCTAATTCTCAGATTTAGCAAAAACAGCTAAATAAAATGTTTGCTAGTCATAGCACAATTATGATGCAACTAACCTAAGATGTATCTGTTGAGCAACTACACCTTGTGTAAAACCATCTATGAGGAGAAAACCAAACAATCAAAAAATCAAAAAACATTAACCCTTTCTTAAAGAGACATGTAATCTAATTTAAAGAGTGGAACTCTGAATAGTAAATATCTAGGGCACTAGCAACCAAAAGTCCCGAAAATATTTTCCTACAAAGAACCTTCCAAAATATGAAAGAAAATTTTCCTTTATTTCTTCTTTTTGGTTTTTTGTTTGTTTGTTTGCTAGGCAATTGGGGTTAAGTGACTTGCCCAGGGTCACACAGCTAGCAAGTGTCAAGTGCCTGAGGCCCCATGTGAATTCAGGTCCTCCTCACTCTAGGGCCAGTGCTCTATCCACTGCACCCCCTTACTTCTTTAATAAAGCATTCCATTACCAATGCACAATTCTTAACTAAAACTAAATCCAGGACCTACTTTGAACTGAACTGTATAGCAACAAAAATACTAAAACACATAGAGTACACAAAGCACTATTAGGTAGTTCAAAGAATACCATATCAAAGTAACCTAGTTGAAGTGCTGGCTCTGAGACTACCTTGGAAAAGTCACTTAACATCCCTGGTTCCTGACCTCCCCCTTAGAATTCTAGATCTATAATCTCAGGTGTCAGAGAAATACGAAATGTGGATAAAACAGTCACTGGCTTCAAGAAGCTAATAATCTATTGGGGGGAATTAACTCAAATTATTTATACGACAATTTACCATAAATATATTCATGCTTCTCTCCAACAAATTCTTTTCTCTTTTCTATCCTTGGGAATTTTAGCTTCCTAATTTCTCTATTACCCCCATGTCATATTATAGTTTCCTTACTGAAATCTCTAGTTCATGTGTCATAAAGCCATTTTCTTACAGAACTAATTTCCAATCAACTTTCTCATTTCTTCCAAAATCCAAGAGCACAATGGCTCTAAATACAACTTCTGCAGCAAAGCTGAAACAAGTAAACAATCCTTTGACACAGAATGACTGAATTAAGCAGGTAAGTAAATTATACTGATAGATATTAAAGGTTTCCCTGATAGTGTACTTACTAAGTCACCCAGGACGCTTAAGACCAAAAGTTAACCTAACTAACTCTAAAGTACATAGCTGTGAGACTAAGTTATTTAAGTCACATAGTGAGAGTGATGGATAAGTTAAGCAACAATCTGGATTATATTTTGCACTAGACTGATTTTCAGGTGACCAACTATTTGCTCCAGTGGCTGTGAAGGAAATGAGAATTTTACATCAGTTTCACTTGTGAGTTACCAAGCAAGACTGCACTTTATCATTGCAAGGTTGCTAGCTGTTTGTAACAAACCACAAAATAACCAAAATAAAAGATCATAAAATTGTCAAAATTTAGTAGATGACTATTAGGTTTTGGAGGTTTATTTTTTTTAAAGCAGCTATTATTCAATCTATTTTACAAAAGCAAACAATTAAAAGTTTAAAACCAGATAGAAAAAAAGCAAAAAAGTGGAGTTTGACTCAAAAAAAAGTCCTCTTGTTGGTGGCATGCGGTGACTACCCCATCACTTACTTGTCCTCTTCTATTTCTTTCTTGTTTTTCTCTCTTCCCCTTATTTGACTCTCCTATTGCTTTTCTTATTCTTTGTACTTTTTCTTTTATCCCCTACATAGCCCTAAGGCTCTGCAAATAACACCTACATTCTGCTAGTGATAGTAAGAGTTGAATAAGTTATTGAGCTCAACATATATTAAAATTGCATTTTTTTAAAAAGAATTTTTCCTTTCAAAGGAAGAGAATCTACTCACACCTGTTTAGAGCTACTGCCTGGCTGGGCAACCATTTTGGATATAAACATTTAGAGAGAAAAATCAACTTGCAAGCTATGACAAGTATCTATACTCTGTAATTCTACTCCATTTATATGGCTCCTAAAAAGTAGGTTAACAAAAATACAGGGGAACAAGTCTTACAAGTAGGTAAACAGTCATTCTCCCAACAAATACACAATACATAATTCCTGCTGATAGCAATATGATGAAATCATTAAGAATATAAAAAATACACCTTTCTTCTTTTGGCAATGGAGGGGAAATAATATTACTTGAATAAGCATTTGTGTAAGCACAATAAGGTGAACTCTGATGAGGTAAAAAAAAAAAAAAAAAGTTTCATGAAGACTGGGTTGTTTCAAGAGACCAGATAACAGATTATTCAGGACCATATCAAAATAAGGAAATTTTACAAAGACATAGATAAGCAGCAATTCACAGGTCATTTGAGATTTTAGGGTCACAAAGCTCTTTTCTCAAGCTAAGCCCTTTCACAACCTCCACCATGGCCTCTACCATCATTTATTCTTGATTCTCCCAAAATGTAGCTCCTGAGGTTACTGACCTTGACAACTTGAGGTGCTCTGAATGTAAAACTTAAATTCATTGTTAACTAATTTAAAAGATTGTCACAAAAATCCACAACTGAAGCATTTATCTGTGATTACCTATTTTTATTTTAAGTATTTTCTTTCTAGTGGGGAGACAAGATGGCTGAGTGGTATGAAGCAGTACAGTGATCTCCTGTCCACAAACTGTTCCAAACAAATCTAAAAAATGGACCAGAATCCATATGTACAAAACTATTTATAACAGCTCTTTATGTGGTAGCAAAGAATTAGAAACTGAGGGGATGTCCATCAATTGGGGAATGGCTTAACAAGTTATGATATATACCTGTCTTCTAAGATATGACAATGTGGATGGTTTCAGAAAAACCTGGGAAGACTTATATGAACTGATGCAAAGTGAAGTGAGCAGAACCAGGCCATAGTAACAGCAATATTGCAAAAATAAACAACTGTGAAAGACTTAGTAATTTTGATCAATACAATGATTCCCCAACTCCAAAAGACTTATGATGAAAAATACTATCTACCTGCAGATGGAGAACCAAATTTTTTTTCTTTTTTTTACTTTTCTTGTTTTTGAAATATGGCTAATGTAGAAATATGTTCTGCTTGATATCATATATATAATATGTATCGTATTTCTTACCATATCAACGTATGGGGGAGGAGGAGGAGGAAGAGAATTCGTAACTGAAAATAAAAATAACACAATACATTTTTTTTTAAGTAAAGAAAATGAAAGAGGAAAGAAAGTGCAACAAATATAATCTTGATGGCAAAATGCAGAAAAGGTCACAGTGGGATCAGCAGCAGTCTACTCTTATACAGACCCAAACCCAGGTCAAGATTTTGCAGAGGTCTGACCAGAGAGGCAGCAAACAGACTATGAAACGAAACAGACCACTTTGGGAGCAATGAAAGTTTGCAGGTACCCAGCCTGTACCTAAGAGCCTAGGGACACAATATTCAAATAACATAACACTCAAAACCCCAAGAAAGCTCCAACAAGACCAAGTCAGACCTTCCCTCAAGAAGTGTGGCGGAGGAGGCAGAGCCAAGAGGGCGGAGGAAAGGCAGGGACTAGCCTGAGCTCTCCTCCAAAGACCTTTAAATAATGATTCTAGAATTTAGCATGTAAAAAAACCAGGAGTGGTAACCGTGATCTCAGACAAAGTTACAGTTAAAATAGATTTGGTCAAAAGTGAAGAATGGAGAAACAATACTATGTGTCAGCAATATTTTTCCAATATTGTTTTAGATCATTTAAAACACCCAGATAGTATAAAATATCTAAGCATGTACCTGTCAAAACAGACACAGGAACTATACGAACATAAATATAAAACACTTTTTTATACAAATAAACTCATATCTAAGTAATTGAAGCAATATTTATTGTTCACGGGTAGGTAAAACCAATATAGTTTTTAAAATGACAATTTTATCTAACTAATTTATTCAATGACATTCAATTACTAAAAAATTATTTTACTAAGTTAGAAAAAATAATAAAGTTCATTTAGAAGAACAAAAGGTCATGAACTTCAAAGAAACCAGAGAAAAAATATTTAAAGGAAGTAGATTCAGCAGTATCAGATCTTAAACTATATTAAGAGGTGAGAACACTGTTGAAGTATAAAAAGACTAATTTGATTCTTTTAATTTAAAACTTTCTTGGATAAATAAAACCTATGTAGCCAAGAATAGAAGAAATGCAGAAAGTTGGGGGGGGGAACTTCCACAGACAACCTCTAAGCCAGGATGTGACTGGGTTCGAATACTGCTGTGATACAGGAAATGATGAGCTGGCTGATTTAGAAAAACATGGAAAGACTTGGACTTATGAAGGAAAATAACTATCCACCTTCAGAGAAACAGATGATAGGACAAAATAACCATAGGAGGGTCTTACATAATATGTGTATGAGTGTATATGTATATAAAAATGTTTATAGATATCTATGTATGTGTGTATATGTGTGTGTATCCATGGTTAATTGTAGCTTTCTTTTTGGGAGAGGGGGAATAAAGTAAAAAGTGCATAGCAGAGAACAGAAGAAAACTAACAAGGATGCAAAGCTGGGCAGCTCTGAAAACAATATGCAATATTTCTTATATAGGTTTTCTTGAAATGGAAATTCATTTTTTTATATTTAATCCTCTCTTATGGTCTTCTGTGTACATGACAATTTTTTTTTCTCATTTTATCTTTAAGCTTAAAATTTAAAAATTTACAAAAAAAGGAAAAAGAAAAATTATAAAAAAAATTAATAATGACTCCAAACAAATT